AAATAATATAAATCTTTAAGGTGTTCTAGAGCACCTTAAAAGTGATATCTTAAAGGAACATGAGAGAGAAATTATTAGAAGGAGAAACATCTGTCTGAATTTTATCTTACTTTGATGGACAAGTCTGTTAGGACAAATCTGGAAGGGGCTAGTAAAAATATTAACCCACTGTTCTTATAGTTCAGAATTTTTGTACTGAAACCCTATACTAAAATACCTTCTAGAGCAGGTCCATTTTTTCAGCTAATTGTGGAAAAGAGATGAGAAGACAAAAACAATATTTTCCAGAGTATCAAATGGAGGTAAATGCTGTGTTAAAGGTGCAGCAAAAGTTACTCATTGCCATGCAGTAAGTTAAATATTGAGCAACATTCCTGGGACTGGCATAATTGGCAGGAGCACTCTACACCAGGAGACCTTTTGAGGACTGTGGAGTCGAATATCTCACTTAGCACTTAACTCCTAAAACCTGAATAGAACGGAACAGGAAAAATAGTTCAGTGGGAAGGAATATAAAAAGAATATCCAGTCCAACTCTCTGACCACTGCAGGACTAACCAAAAGTTAAAACATATTAATGAGACTGTTATCCAAATGCCATTGGAACATTGACAGGCATGGGGCATCTACCACCTCTCTAGGAATCTTGTCCCAGTGTTTGACCACCCTCACAGTAAATACATTTTCCCTAATGTCCAGTGTGAACATCCCCTGGTGTAGCTTTGTGCTGTACCCTCATCTCCTGTCATTGCTAATGAAGAAGTACCACTCTGTCTGGTTATTCCTCCATGGGTTTGCTGATAAAAGCATTGATACCTTTCAATACACTTTTTTAAACAACAGGTAGTAAATATAGGCAAGCTTAGAGAGAGGTAATCAGAGAAATAAAGGGTAACTCTAACAAGTTATAATATTAAAATTTGTAGGGCATCAACACCATGTCTGAGGATGTCAGCCGAACTGTCCTCAGTGGTTTGACCTCCTTAACACAGTCCAGATACCTGAATCAAGATAAGTCTAGCCTGGGACAAATCAAGCTCCCTTTTCTGCTTTCTAGCCCTTCAAACTCTGCTCCATAGGAATTCTTTCATCAACAAGGAGGGAGTGGGGCAGGGGGGAGACCCGGAAAGGCATTACCAAGTTTTCACATATGGGAAAAGTGATGTCATGCAAAACCCAACATTGATTTTCACATCTCACAACCCCATTGATTTTTGCCAAAGTGCTTCATTCAGACAAAATATGCACTTCCAAAATGTGCTCTTCCAAACACTTATCTGCTATTCTGAATGTTACTTCTCTATGCCCTCTCTCAAAGAAAGTAATCACAAATCCACCACCACATCTCACTGCTGTCCTAGTCTGCATGCATGCTGATTTTGCAGATAGTCTCTATGGAGCTGATCTTAGCACAGATTTTTCTGTAGTTTACAGCTACCTCCATTTCTGTCCACAAAATAAGGACGTACTAGATAAACGTACTCAGAGTCTTCAAGAGTCACAGAGGGCAGGATTTTTCCTTGGAAAAGGAAAGAATACTCAAGTGCTAAAAAGTAACTAATAGGAAAAATATGTTAAAAGTTTTTTTTTTTTTTAGAAAATACTGTAGGAAAAAAGGAAAATTCCTAGATACGGGAAGATTTGTAATTTTAATTTGCATTGTTAATTTTTATGTGCATTAGAATTTTAGATAGCCAAAGAAATCAGAAGGCGTATGAAGCCATAAGAATACAATGAAAGTCTAAGCAGAAGTGCCAGTTTAAGTACTAAAGTCTAATTCATGTTGCAGAAGATAAACTTTGCATAACAACTTTTCTGAATTACAGCTATTCTACAGCTGTTTTAAACAGTAGTTCAAAGTCATGCTAATGGTTTAAATTCAAAAGTTTGTTGTACTTTAAATAAGAAGGATATGATCTACTGTTCCATATATTGGCTAAATTAATAAATGTTCCAAAATCTAGTCAGATAAGTAACAATAATAATCCAGTATCATGGTAATGTTTGTCTTTAAAATGTTGGTAGGTTCTGTAGAGGATAAAAATATCCAAAACTCTTCTTTGGAACCAAAACACAGAATAGCCTTTTTTGAATCAACAAAAGAAATAGTAAATCAAGAAAAATCTCCCAAAATCTGAAAAGAAATCTCTTTTGAGTGATCCCCAAAAGGACAAAGAATTTGTTATTATCAGGGCTTGCTGGGCGTAAAGGGCTCTCAACTCTACAAAATGCCCAAGGATTACTTCTTCACTAGGTAGCACACAGACTTCCATCATCTTTTTATGGCTCTGCTGCTGAAGGGCACACGCTGGGTAAACATGACTTTAAACAGCAGAATAGTATAGAGACAGAAGTGTAGAAAGAAATGGAGACAATAAGAGTCTGTTTGATCATTCTTAGTTATAAACCCCCCATAGGAGTAAATCCCTAAGATTTGTTCAGAAAATGTCTGCAGCCCAAAGGGAACTTTCCATGTGAAAAAAAGAACAGAATGCTTTATTATATTCTGAAACCAACGATTTGGGTTATTCCTGAGAAACGTATTTGTTATGGGGAAGCAAGTGAACTATTTATGGCTTCTCTTGTACAAAAAGGAAGAACTTATTTCCTGGAGACTCTCTTTCTAGACTTAATAAATATCTTGAACTACTAAGTCATATACTAGATTTTCATGCAACTTAGAAAAGAAAGAAAAAATAATCATAGTCTGAACAACACAGTAAATTAAATTTCAGTATTAAATTTTCAGTTATATTAACCTCATGAAGAACAGCTTTTAAGTAAAAGTTTTCTAGTTAGCAGTACCCTTGCTTTGTCCTCCAGCATCAGAGCAAATTACTTAAATAAGTGACCTTCAATGCAACACTTCTTTATGCTACACTTGTTTTTGTGCTGGTGAAAATAAATAAAGAAATAAATGAATGAATAAGCAATTACTGGAGTCTTTATATTGTGATTCACCCAGTGCTCAATGTGATTTCATTCACACATTACCTACAAATGTAGTTTCTTCAAAGGCTGCTCTTCATGATCTACCATCCAGATCATTATAGAAACATTACTCTATATTGCTTCTGCCATTATTGTCACATTAGAAGAACAAAAAAAATCACAGAAATGTATCTGGAATGGCAGTTGATGTGGAAGTAAACACCTTCTGGCCACAATAACTTGGATAATTATTTCCAAGTTTTTAGGGGTTCTTTTACAAATCACCATGTTTGAACCTTTATGGTGTTAAGTCAGCAAATTAGTGAAATTACACAATATCTTAACGTTAAAGAACATTTTTTTTCCAATCAGCATTTCCAAGACTTCATGCTTGGAACAGTGAAATCATCAGGACCAGGTTTTTGTGACTTTTAATATATCTGAAATCAAATGTTTCTTTCCTAATGTTGCATCCTTCTGTTTAACAATATACTTGTGCTCCTATTTCCATTTTTCATTAGCCAGCAGTAAAGCTAGCATGCACAGCAATACTTGCAGATGACAATCAGAAATAGCTGAGATGGTTTAGAGCATCCGGTCTTTTGTTCATAACCACCTCTTTGCTCCAACTCTCTGATCCGGCAAAAGAGACGGTGGAATGAACCAGACAAACACTCATGATTCTCCTCAGGGTGAAGTTAACTAGCATACAGAAAGCTATCCAGGCTGGTTGGTTGACTCATACGTACAGACAGGTGAAGACCTACATTTACATTCTGCAGTTCAGTCACAAAGAACTCTTTATCTCAGAATGTCATGTCATCTCAGAATTTGCTCTTGAAATTTTGTGCAGTGTCAGTAAAAGCGGCCATTTTATCCTAGGCTAGAAGTAGTTGCAGGTCAGTCATTGCTGAATTAACTCTTCTTTTTACAGGTCTACAGTCAGCCTTCTCCTACTGATATGAAGGGACCACCCTAATGCAGATACCCACCAACAAACTAATCCCAGTGCTTAAAAATTTTGACAGGTCTACTGCATGTCAGAGGGTTGATGTTCAGATTTCAAGAGAAGAAAACGTTGCACCTATTTGATGGAAGCCACAGTACCTGGGCATCCTTTATATTCCTGAAAGTGCTTATGCTGCTTTATAGAACACTGACTGAGACTTGTATTTAGAACCAGGACTTCCAGCTGTTCCAGTACACAGCAGCATAGTCCTCATAGCACAGAGCATCTTGGCACTTGCCAAGAAAACTAGTGTACATTTATAAAAAGTAGTACTGTCTGTAATAATTATTCTCCTTCAGGCATATGCCAAAATCAGTCAGATAGAATGCTGGCAATATTGTTGGTAGGGTTCTCGGATAACAAAATGTTATTGAGCTTCTTTTCATTAAAACAGAAGCAAGGAAAAAGAAAACCTAGATTTATATATATACATGTATATATAGAGAGAGACAGATAATATATTTTAGATTTCTCCTTCTCTGAAGGAGCAGCGATTAATCTACTTGCTCTTTCTGTGTTTCTGCTCTCACGAATAATTATGAAATGTTTGAAATTATGATTCATCCATAACAATGAGCAGATATATTAATAACTCAAGTAGAAATAAGACATTTACATCTCTTCTTTTAATATAGCTTAATTAAGAAATTTTTTTGTGAACAGGTCACTATTATCTGTCCTGATTAATTCAGAAATTTGACTAGCAGGAGAAGTTACACAGAAAGAAGAACTTCAGAGGATGCTAAATAGAATTTCAATCACTGGTATTTCTACTGTCTAACCCATAAAATATGTCAGAGTGTGCGTTGGGGTATTGATTTTCTGATGTCTGGGAGATGAAAATACAAGTACCCAAGTGTTCCTCTTGACAGTTACATTAAGAAAATACTCAAGAAAAAAAAAATAATTTTGTTTGTTTTTGTTTTCCAAAAAGTTATTCACATGCAGTGACAACTATTGTGAGGTAAACTTGATAAAATTAGGAACCTGATTTTTTTGTTTGTTTGTTTGTTTATGATTTCAAGAAAGACATAAGGGAATAAGAAATAAATAGCAAGGATTTGTAATATCAAGTTTTATATGAGTACCAACTTTTAGAAGCAGTGGAGTCTCACAGATTCTGCAGTACATTCTTGTTCTCAAGTCACAGCAATCAAAAGGGAAACAACATGACACAAGCAGCAAAAAGCATAAGCAAAGCTTGTGTGATTCTGAAGTTAATGTATTTAATTAAATTGCATATTCACAGTGTATCTCATGTCAAAACCAAACTCAGATAAAATAAAAGATTCTACAATTTGCTATATCTAAGACCATTATTTCCTTTTCTGTTACTACAGTTATGTTGGGCTTTAACTCTGTTGTACAGTCCTTCTGGTGAGATTTAGCTTATATTTAGGGAATTGTTGTATAGCATTGCTTAAAAAGAACATTTTATACTTCAAACATTTGACCAATATGCTGAGTTAAATTTCATTTAATTCTACAACAAGGTAGGGTAAGAAAAAAAAAAGTAATATCTTTCAAAATATCAGAACATTTTTAATCTTAGCATTGAGCATTCTGGGTTTTTGCTTAATATATCAGTTCTAATAATTACAAATCTATATACTTTTATCACTGCATACTATACAATGTCTCCCAAAATGATGGCTTATATTTTACACAGCTAGATGAAAATTAAATGATGTGATTTTCATGACAGCACAGGTAGTCTTTGTCATTTGCCTGAACATCCAGATTTCTGCTAACTGTTGTTGCAAAAGCTTAGGATAGATCTGAAACATGCACTTTTATTGAAATTTTACGATACTTACTGTAAAGTTCTCACCAGAGAATCAGGAGGGTCAGTTCTTAATTTAGACACTTATGAAGAAATAAGAAATTTCTTCATTTCAGACACTTTTATATTCATCTGCTGAAGAGAGTGGGTTGACTGCAAAAGAAGGCATATCTCTAATCATGTGTCAAGAATGGCACTGTCCATCATGGCAATGCAGTGAAGCCATGCTCCACCAACAATATCCATCAAATTAGCATAATGATATTAGGAGACTCTGTTGTAAGACAGAAAAAAGCAATGTCAAATAAATAAATTATTAATAATAATAATAATAAAACACTACAGCAGATTCCAGAAATGCATAGTACTTAAACAGAACTTAAAACATAAAACAGATGTGGGTAAGAGGGTGTTTCTGAAATATTCAGACCAAGATGTGGTCTCACATAGAAAGTTTCTGCACAATGGAGGTTTCTAACTTTGTCTAAAATTTAGCTGAAAAATATTGAAATAACTCCAACTTTTCTTGTTAGGACATAGGTATGGTTCTGACAAATTTTTATTCATAAAATGCAATCCAGTATACCAAGCATGAGATTAAGCCAGTATTTTGTATTTAAATTAATCCTATTCAACTCAATTTTTAGTCACTAAGCAGACTGTATAATATCAATGCAATTAATTTGCCTTCATCTCAGCTTTTAATGAAAGGAAAGAGATGAAGGTGATATTAAAGATATCAGTATTGCTATGTGGAAGGTACAAAATGTTGTATTTAGACCATGTTACTAAAAAAATACATAGTCATGTAATTAATGATTTGTATACGTAGATATAAGGAGCAGCACCTAAATTTCTGGAGAAGTCATCACTTTGTTTGGATTCTTGGACTCTGAGAAGAATCAGAGTAATTCAGTATTTTCCATTCTAACACATCCAGGAGTAATTAGTTAAAAATTGACTATAATAGTTAGACACTTTGTCAATTACTTCAACATTTTTTGTATCCAGGTATCATCTCTTTTCTTTCTTTCCTTCTTTCTTTCTTTCCCAGAAGAAATATTAAACTTGCTTGATTTATTTATATACAATAGAGAAATTTTGATAATGAAATTTTATTTTTTTTCTTTTTCTAAGTCTTCACTCTCTGCTTTGAACTAAATAAATACAGCAGTTTCTAAGTTAGCAAGCAAATCTTAGAATAAGAGTGAATAAAGTAATGAATCCATTTCATTTAATTAAAACTTTGAACAACACTAAACCATTGAGGATAATTAAATGTCTTTTTAAGGATTTTAAATTGGTATCGAGCTCTTAAATAAATACCAATTTAGGGTTGAGATGACTCTGAATCAGCAAGACTGCTATTCAGAAGCAACAAATTTTAATGCTTTTCTTTCATGATTCTTCTAAGACACAACTTTTCCAAAACACAATAATTTTCCATGCAAAGCTTGGTGCATATTGTTTTCTGCTTCAGTTAAAGCCCAAACTGTTTGAATAGAAAATGCATAGTCTTATGCATGTACAGAAGGTTATTGATTGCAATACTCTTTGATTCAAAGTACTTCTATTTTTCATATGAATGTACTTCCGATTATTATCATACAGCAGAAGCCTAATAAAAGAATGATAAAATTACATCACATCACAGAAATAACTAGATTGCCTCAACAGCTGCAGACTCCTTGCATTATTATTACCCATCAGTCCTATAAATATCTCTTGGCAGAGGAATGGAATAAAAATATTATTTGCCACTGAGCAGTACAGCTGCTAAATATGTTTGGCCAAGAATTCATATAAAATCCTATTGAAACATCAGACAAAAAAGGTGCAAAGACACAAGAAAGGACTTTTATCAAGACTCTACTGTCAGCTTATTAAAAGATAACAAGAGAAATGTGCATGGTGCAGGTGGAAAGGGTTGGTTTTGTTTGTTTGTTTGTTTCTGTGATCATCCAATAACAAATAATAAGAATTTATTAGTTGGATATAGTTTCCCTTGAAATTAATGTTAGATACTGGTTTAGCAAAAAGGTAACTATTCTTATTTCACAGAGAGAAAACTAAACCTTACACTGAAGCAGAATTTTCCCAATCGCCATATAAGACATGTTTCTCCAGCCAGCCCCACCCAGACTTCAGTTGTTGTTGTTCCTAACTCTTAGCTCTGGTCAGGATCTATCTAGGTTAACATTTCCTTACACCCTTATCTATAATACCTCCCTACACAAGCAACCCTAGACCACAGGACTGACTTCTCCATTTTACCATGTTTTTCACTGAGAAGTTTCTTGCTCACTGATCTTCACATCTGTGTAGCTTTTGGCTCCTTTGAACAAGAAATAGGCAGTTTCTCTCACAGATCTCCTTGGTCCCAACTTCTCTATCCCATCGTGTGATCCCACTCCAGCATAGTCCTTGGACCCAAGCATGTTCAGTCACTCTTTGTAGCTGGCACATATCTGATGTTCAAGAGTCACTCAGAATAGAGGGAAACCTGCACAGGCACCAGGGAATGACTTCAGTGGAAACAGTTACTAAAAGAATGGCTGACCATGTACCAACTGCAGTCATTTAAAAGCCAGCCTTTGAAATGTTTTCACAGAAAGCTAAATGACTAACTCTGCACAAAAGACTGACATTGTGGAAAAAAAAAAAAAAAAAAAAAAAAAAAAAAAAAAAAAAAAAAAAAACACCTCAATCCATGCAGTTGCAGTCTGACAGAATTACAAGCATCTTAAATAGTACTATAAAATGGGGAGTTTCAAGTTATTTTATTTACAAGGTAGTTCATGGGGAAAAAGGGGAAAAGAAGGAGGCAGTTCCAGCCCTGCCTGTGGTATCCAGAGCTTTATCTTCAGTGTCTACCCAACTGTGGCCTTACAATGAGTATTGTTATATAAAATACAATGACAGTCTGTGAAACAGTGGTGAAGTTTCAGCCTTCCCTACTGCTTTAAACTAGGCTTACTCTGATTCTCTTCTGAGCCCAGTGAAATCTTTGTAGTGTGTCTGCCTCAGCAGGAGAGGCAGTAAGTTGCTCTGGTTGTTCCAGGTTCACATAGCACCGGATGTTCTGCACAGGCAGATGCAGGTTTAAGTCTCCTCAGGTGGAGAAAATTGAGCTCAGAGCTTATATATTTAGAGGTATTGTTCTAACAACAAAGCTGGAGATGTGCCTTTAAAGAAACACGTCTCCAGCTTTTGCGCACAGTCTCTGACAGAACGAATTAGGCTTCCATCTCAGAAGGTTTCTGGTAATTGTGTATAAAGGGGAGAGACCTTGCTGCAATGACCCAAACACCAAGTAACAGACATCCAACTCCCATGATGTGGGACAACAGTATGAGTTCTTTTACCTTCTCCTCAATCCTCAAATTCCCTACCAGCATAGCACAGGAGGCTCCTCTTTAGTGTGCCAGTTGTTTTGGTATCTAACAATAATTAAGCTTTGGGCTCCACTTCACCAGGAGGAAGCCTAAATATTAGATTACTCAGCAGTTTGGATAAACTTTCTATATATATATTTGACATTTTCTCAGGCCAGCCTTGAAGTTATATTCTCCTTTTTCTTTTTTTTTCTTTTTTTAATGTTAATACATAGTGAATATTAAGTTGCCCAAAACATATAGTCGCCCAATATAAATAAAACTGTGGGAAAATGGGACTGCTTTACTATAAAATCTGCATTAAGATACTCCCCTTCAAGGAAACAAAAAAACACACCAGGGACTTTGCCAGGCTGAATCCCATTAGTCAGCTGTAAAAAGAAAATAATTAAGACTTTGTCTAAAAATAAATTTGATTTGATGAGAAGCATGCAAACCACAGCACAGTTATATCTGAGTTGTTCAATGAATTGAATGGTGCCCAGTGCCAGGACAAGAGACAATGGACACAAAGACACAGGCTGTTCTGTCTACGCATCAGAAAGTACTTCTTTACTGCGCAGGGGGCTGAGCACTGGCACAGATTGCCCGGAATGGTTATGAAGTCTCCCTCCTTGGAGATCTTCAAAAGTCCTCTGGACATTATCACTCAGGCTCTTTGTGCTCACCCTTTTGACCAGCCTACATGAAGCATCATAAATGATGAGGCCCTAAGGAGATAAAAGTTTCCTTAGAATAAGGACAAGTGTAAGGAAGACAACTTTACATGAATTTCCTAAATGTGATCAAATAATTTCAGATTTTAAGGTGTGAAAGATCTTAGAAGAAAAAGATAAGCACAAGCTAGACCTGCTCATTAATCACTTCCATAGGCACAACAGAACCATATGGCAATTTTTGTAGTCAGAGACAGAAAACTGACATAGGGAAGTAAACACTGAAATCTTCAAAAAGATTTTTTTCCGAATCAAATATTTTCCAAGAAAAAGCAGAACTTGTATTAGAGAAATGGCATAGACATCGCTAAAAATACCAAACAGCTAAATTCCACATCCAATCTCCCATTAATTGAAACTGTTTAGAACAGAATTGAAGAAGGGATATATGGAATCTTTGTATAAATGGAATATCACTAAAAGCATAGAAACTTTTTTTAAGTTTCCTTGTTCAGTGATCAGATTTGAGAGATCTCTATTGACAATCTTTCCCATATTAATTTTTTCTACTAAAATTATTCTTGACCTGCTGTATTCGTATCAGAAATAAATTACTAGTAAATTGAGCAGTGTTCCAAAAACTATTGGACTTCATTGCTCGTATTATGTCCCCTTAATGCTATTACACTGAATAATAAAAGATTAAATCTTAATGCATATGTGTAATAGGATTCAAATGCAGGTCAGGTGCCAAGTCACATCTGGATTTTCTTGATCTTATTACTTATGTGTATAATCTTAGCATCATGTTAATATAATCACCATGTAAAAACTACAATTGCATTACATATAAATATTAGAAATTTTAGGGTTGCAAAGGCAAATATTAAATAGCAATAAGGAGATGGAATTACCTGTGCAATAAGCTACTTTACGGAATTATACAATGCTTTTAAAAACAGGAACAGTATTCACTCTGGTCCATTTATAAGGGGGGGGGGGGGGGGGATGGGAGGGGCAGAGTCCATATTAGAAATTTGAGAGTGCCATTGACATTTCATTGTTACCTGGATATATTGATGACTATTAATGATTGAATGTGTATTAAAATGTAAAAACTATGGCTCAAATCAAGATCACATACTCTAACTGCAGAGCATCACAGAAAAGAAACTAAGTTACACTGTGCCCTGCTGTTATGAGGATTATACTAAGTTCAAAATGGGCTTCCACCATTCATACAATTGTTAGGAACTACCAATCATTCCTCTGCCGAGGGACATGCAGAAAGTACTCAGTTCAATTAATCTTTTGTCTGAAGGCAGAGTCCCAGAAAGTATTACAAACCCATGATGGTCGTACTAGAACTCAGTAACTTGGGAAACTCTGAAATACAAGGACGTAACACAGGAAAATGCTGAAAAGACCAGTACTTGCTAAACTTCAGATTAGTTCCAGGGAGAAACTATCTGTTCACGCAGAAGATTGGTATATAAATTTAAGGATCTGTGTCAGGATTTTTTATTAGCTAATAAGACGAAGTCTGTTAAGGGGAAGGAGAGCCAAAGGAAAAAGGAAGGCTGGAGAAAGAAGATTAAGTGAAAATGTGAAAGTAACCTAGAGAAGTGTGCTGAGGAGAAAAGACTGTTCAGAGCATAGGCTCCAGAACCTCATTTGATATCACAATTTCAGTCCCACAGATCTTTGCCTGAATTGCATCAGGTCCTGTGGGGCTCAGCTGAAAGAGAGAGAGAGAGAGAGAGAGAGACAAAGAGACAGAAGAGAAGGATGCTGGGATGCTACTCTCTGCAGAACAGGTTTAATGCACTTTTGTCTGTCACCTCTTGAGAATCCACCACTTATGCTTCTGCAGCCCTACACATTGCAGAAAATTCCCAAGAAGGTTTAGGGTTGTGATTTCAGCACAACAGGCTCCAAGACTCTTTTTAAAATGCAATTTTTTTTAAGGTCGTCCAGAAGAGTTAAGAGAATGACGGCTTGCATAAGCCTTTCAGGAGGAAAGAAGTACAGGACATCTAAGCTTAAGTCAGACGAACAAGAAAAGCAAAACTAGATGTATACTGTGTAGAAATTAAATAAGTTAATTGGCCAGGACATGGGGCAAGGATTAAAGACAAAAGTACATACATATCCAATTAAAACAATGAAATACAATAAAATTTGCTAAAATATTTGATGCCTGGGATTTGTGTGGTAGCTGAAAACTGTGAAGAGAAAGGAAGTCAGAGACAGATATCTGGAATTTGCACATTCAGAAGGGAAGATTTTAGTATCTTCCATGTCTTCAACATCAGGTTGCTCAGGAAATCTGTCTGTCAGTGTTGACACAAGGATGAAAACCCATTTATGCAGAAGAGCTTCAGGTGCCAGTCTTTTTCTGAATGTTTCCACTCCCAAAACAGAGACAGTTGAAAGCATGAGCTATCTACTCCTAAATTTCCACAGCCAACATTCAAATATTTTGTCAGCATAAGCTGACAGTCATCTGACCAATTTCAGTTCAACTATAAAAAGTGTGTGTTTGGGGGGTATTAAGCATAATTTGGACCTGATAATAGACTCTCAGGTCTCAGATACCAACCTTCTTGCATGTTTGCCTGTACCACCACCAGTAGGACAGCCTGTGAGGTACATTCCTTCCACCATATGAACACAAATATGAGTGTCCAGCACCTCAGATTTCAAGCTAAGTTTTTTCTAAAACCTATTCCCGTATATCTTGTCTCCCTCATTAGATTTCCATCCGGGCCAAGACAGAGGCAGCCACACATGAAATTTTTGCATTCAAAATTCTGTAGCTGGACACAAACTGTGAAGGCAGCCAAGGCAGATCCCAGATTCTAATACCCACAGATCAGGTATATTCATAAACAACCTAGTTCCTCTTTCAGTGAAACAAAAAATATAATGCTATTTTAAAGGTTAAAGAAGAATAATGAAAAATTTGACTTAAACTCCAGACTGGGAAAAAATACTTTTATTTTTTTTTTATTCTTGGCACATTGCCAGAGCTTCCATTGCATTTGGATTAAGGGTATAAAATAAAACATATTTAATTTTATATTCTTTAATTGTTAATAACTATGGAAAAATACATACTGGAAATATTGAATACTTTTCAGATTAAAAATAAAGTATTTTTAATATAGCAGAATTTATTTTAATTGAAATAAATATTGATTTTTTCTTATCTTAGCACAGCTTTGCAAAGATAAGAAATTTCAATCTATTTTCCTTAATGAGTTTTATTGGTCATGCTAGCAAACATTACTTAACCACAAAATTGATTCTCTACCATGGAATTAGGTCATAGTCAAACATTCCTGGAGTATTTAATTTTCTGACCCTATTAATATTCAGCTATGGAATTTTTAAGAATACATATACTGTGTTTGCACATGGTTTAAACAGAACAATTTCAGGATTTCAACAATATTGTGGTTGGATTATTATGGACAGTCTTCTGTAACCTTAGTTATTGAAGCTTACCAACAAAACTGTCCTCAAAAGGGCTTTGTAAACATATATTCATATATCCCCGTGTTATGGGGTAAGTATTAAAATACTCTGTAAGCTAGACATAGTTGATGCACTTAAAAAGTTTAGCAACTTACATGCAACTTACTTACATGCACCTCTAAAAATGATGTTTAAAAAAAAAAAAAAGGTGTTTCAGGCCTGATTTGAATCATTTATTCTACGGGAAATATGGGAAATCTAATTTGTATTCCACTAAGTCACTGTGCGAATCATTTGTGATAAGAAAGAAGCTACAGAAATGTATGTTTGATGCTAAATCAGTGAGCAGTTCTGCAACACACAAGAAATGCAGTAAACGTCAAGCCAACTGTCTGAAATTCCCTCTGCTGTGCCTATTTTTCTCTCCCAAACACAAACAGCTGGAGAAAAACTTGTTCCCTGGGGCCTAAGGATGCACTTCCCATCACCTCTGTGCCCAGACAGGCACTTTCACATAGATGAGAAAAAGTATCTGTATCAAAACTACAACTTAAAAGTAATTGGAACACATTTTCCCAATGAAAAAAAAAAAAAAAAAGTAAATAAAAGTGATATTAATCACTTGGATTTTTAATTACCTTTTATTTTTTCAGATCAAATAAAGAAATTAGCTATCATTTATTATAATATTGACCATGGTGTTAACACAAAAGTTCCCTAACTGGCATGTGTTTTATTAAAATAATAATCTTCTATCTTTTTCTTTTTAATATGAAGTGAAAAGCTGAGAAAACATAACTATGATATGACTTACAAACAGAATTATTAATGCCAGTAAATTGGATAATGCTCCTTATGACATGGAATAGTAAGAACTTTCTTAAGAACTCCCCACTTACCTCAACATGCACCAATAATATGGTCCTTACACTTATTTCTGAAGTCTGCTTTAATGGATGGGGGGTACTGTATGGGTATTCCATTTTCTTTTCCATGTAGAAACTTCTTTTTTTTGTCTTTACTGCATGTACCCCAATGATTTATAAATAAATAAGATGAAACAACATCCACAAATGACAGTGGACATGTCTCTTCTGTAAGCAGATAAATATGAGTTCAGACATTTCTCAGTGGTAGCAGTAGACTATTTGGCAGCTGTTTGCCAAGGATAAAAATGGTGGCAATCTGGGATAAGTCACAGATGTGCTGGTTGTAAACATTGCTCTTTTAAAATCCATTGCATACTCCTTGTTTACCTCTCCTCTTTAATATTTTAAATTGTATTTTATTGTCATACAAATTTTGTCTATATGCCCTATATGCATTCCAGAGAGGAAATGCTTACTGTTGAATTAAGAAAGTCACAAAAAACATGAACTATAAAATCAGTTTCCCGCACTTATATATACATATATATATGTGTATATATATATATATTTAGAATCCTTAGTTTAGAATACTTTCTGTAGATCTTGGATACAGATTCAGACAGCAGCTTTTTTGCCCAGATTTTACACAAGGTGGAACTGAGTCACAGAAAAAAATAAAGAAAATATATACATATATATATATATGTATATATATATATATATATATTATTTTTTTATATATAATATAGAAAATATCTGCCTTATCTCACCAATTGATTCAGCAAAAGATCCAGGAACCGGAATTCAAGAGATCTGAGCTCTAATACAGACACCAGAGATGTGCTGCTCCAGACATGCAGAGTGTATTATCCCTAAAAAAAGTTTGCATTTTGAATTCAGAGTGTTAGACTTCTATTTTAGAAATCAAATGAGTCTCCTAAGGTTTTTTGATACACTAATAAGAAAAGGAAAGTGAAATGGTATACATAAATGTAGACAGGCAATGTTCATAGGCTAACATATAGTTCAAGAAAAAATGTTAATTGAGCCCTAAAGGAAGCTTATATGCCCTCAAAGGAGCAGAAATATCTGTACATAAATATTAGAAGATAAACAGTAAGTGGAATTTTACAGAAAATACAAATGCAAAGCTAAAATACAGCCAAACAAGAATAAGGTCAACAGCACAGCTGCTACTACAAGGGCAGAATATGGTTATTTGGTAAAAGCATTAAGTAATTAGCAAAATTACTAGCTGAATAAATAAAAATGTAGGCACTGATTTTAAGTGTAGCACCTCAAAAATGTCTTAAGATCCTTATCTAAGATAATTTCTATAAACATTTAAGAAACAAAAAATCAGAAAATATGAGTAACAAAATATCCTCAGACAGTCTAAACTTAACTACATATGAAAGTAATAAGGTGGTCTAAACAGGACAAAGAGCCTTTTGATGCTTTAAGAGGCATAGGCGTAATTGAATTCTTAACATGAAGACAAATTTTTAACCAGGGATAAATGGGAATAACTACTGAGATACAAAGAAAAGCAGCAGGAGAAGAGTTTGTAATTTGGATGGAATGTTAGATCTTGGCTCCAGTAAAGCCGTAATACCCCACTAAAGCAGAATACATAAATAAAAAAAGAATTGTTTACTTTAAAAAAATTCAAATGGAAGTTTTTTAATGACATTTCTTTTTAAATACTGCCTTGATAGAAAGCAACATTTTTTTCATGTTTTTAATTTCTTCTCTCCCCCAAACTTTTTTGCTAACCTCCTTTCACACTAGACACACTTCTTGTAGCAAAATAGGTGACAAAGGAGAAGAGGAATGGACAAAAATCAGAATTACAGACAAAAAAAAGAAAGAAAAAAGAAAAAAAAAAAAAGACTGGTACGGTCTGACTTTTTAAACATATGCTTCATTTGCAACAAAAAAAAAAAAAGAAAATCAACATTCATTAAAAAAATAAAATAAAAAAAAAACTTAAAATCAGTGCCTACATTTTTATTTATTCAGCTAGTAATTTTGCTAATTACTTAATGCTTTTACCAAATAATAATAATAATAAAATAATAATAATAATAAAAAAAAAGCTTTTCATGAAAAAATGGTGATTTTTCAGTCCTTAACCTAAAATTTTGGTAAAAATGCTGATTCTTCAGGCACACAGAGTGGCCTTTTGCTTAAGAATGAAGGAGTACCTGGGTTATCCTGGTATTAGTTATGTTTTGACACGGTTACAATTTCTTACATAACAGAAAATTAGGACAAAGCATCATAATGTAAGTGCACAACTAAACAAAAACATTTTGCAGGAACAGTTAAACACAATTTACTGCCAGACTGGGCTAAGCTTTTCAAAGGGAATCTTAAGGCCTATCCTCATTTGAAATATAAATCCACTCAATCTTCTCAGAGATTTGAATGATGGAATAGCACAAGAAACACAGATATTTTGCCATAATTTTCATGCATATAAGGAAGGATACATGCCATCTGTTCCTCATACATCTTCCCCTCTAGAACCTTCACCATCTTTGTTTCCCTCCTTTGGATTTTCTCCAATAATTTTACATACACACACACACACACGCAAGCAAGCAGTAGAGAGAGGGAGACTAAACAGTAGCCCAGTAGCATCAATACTGTAAACATGACTTCTACATTACTTAAAGAAACAAAAATCTACCTCTACTATTTCAATAGTACAACTAAAAGGGGCATTTGCATTTGCAGAAGACACATGGAGCATACACCGCTTATAACGGCAGAAGTTAAAAGACATATAACTGCTATTTACACTGCTTCTCTAACCACATGTTATTTTAAATGAACAAAGCCAGACATGCTAGAAATTCTGCACAGGGTCATTCAAATCAATGAACGCACTAGATGACTTCTGCCAAAGTTTAAGCCTCTTAAATTAAAGACTTCATAAGCTTTTCTCTGTGGAGTTTGTTCTTGAATTAGTCTGGAAGCCATAGCTAGAAATAAAAATACTTTCTGGCAGTCTTGAAGCATGCAAAATGTACTAGATATACTTTTACAGGTTCTAGGGGATTTTGGTTTTATTTATTTGTTTGTTTGCTTGCTTGCCTATTTGTTATAACAGACACAGGGATATAGACAAGTGAAGTGTGAAGTTCAATAAATTTTGCTTACACCTTAATAATGCCTTGAGTGCCTCAGTGATCATTTCCTCTTTTATGTCCATAAGCAAGGTCTTCACGTTTAGCAGCTCTGTAGGCATTCCACTTAGGAGGCAGCAGCAGTGAGTCCACCTAAGTGCTGAGCATTAAAACATTTTGCTTATGGAATTTGCAGGATTTTTGCTCAGGACACTGAGAATGACTTTCCATTGCCCCCCCAGCTATCTCTGTAGAGAGGGTTAACATAAATAATTATGTGATCTATTCTTCTTGTACTGTCATATATAGGCCATTTTTTTTCATTCATAACTTAAATCAGAAGCTTGTATAAATTAATAATGAGCTCATTTACATTTCAATAGACTCAAAAGTGTTGTAGCTGTTGATAAATTGTACTGGTACATTCTTCCCAGCAAACTAAGTCCTATTGGAAGTGTCCAATCTTTCCACTTGCAAGATTTTATTTTTTTTTAATGTGAAAAAAAAAAAAAAAAAAAAAAACTTTTCAAGTTGTCCCATGTTGGATTCCAGTTCCCAAGAGCTAGACAAACATGCTGTTTCAGCATTGCAGTAGGTGAATTGTAGCTGTACTGTAAGAGAAGTCTTGTATATGCACTGCAATTGGTAAAACATCTGAGAGCCAAATCCTCTAGGGCTTTTTGCACCAAGTATGTGCTTCATTCCTCTCTCGGCTCTGATTAGGTGATGGCCTTCTTATCAGAGTGAAAGCAGTGCATGTGCATGTGTGTGTCAGAAAGGAAGCATGGGTCTAATATCAACTAAAAAGCCATGTATCTGATACAGAGAGAAAAACAATGCAGTACCCAGTCCAACTGATTCTGCTGCACCAGCAAACAAGGAAGTCTAGATGACCAAGAATTTTGAAGAGAAAGCCCAAGAGAAAAAAAACTTAAAACCTCCAGAGTTCTTCAAAAAACCTAGGGAGATGGTGTTAGCCCCTGAGATAAATTCTCCAGACATCCCAGCAACAAGGGAGCAGGAGGAGGCCCTAAGTTTCAGTCACCACCTCTCGAGGTCCCCAAACCAAACCAACCAAACAAACAAACCAAACAAACAAACAAACTAGAAATCCACTGAGGCCACATGTGAGTGCAATCTCTCCATCAAAACCACCATGAATTTTCAAAGGATGGGGCATATTCAAGAGGAATTACCTGTATATATTTGTCCAACAGTTGTGACCTTGTCCAAAACATCCATTATTACACACAGAGTGGTGGAGACAACCTGCATAGCCAAGTTGGTGTTGAGTTTCACCTAGCACAATAGTCCTGTTTGTATGCTGCTGCCTCCTTCCCTCTCCCATTTGCCAATGCAGCTGCAGCAGCACCAGCTAGATTTAATTCCTAATGGGGCAGACCTCCCCAGGTGGGAGACAGTGATCTGCATAGCACAACACAACAATGCCAGTATTGTATTTAAAAGCCCAGCTGATCAGTACATCAAACTGATTCTGAGTAATCCCCTAGCCAATACATAGCCATGCTTAATTCCATTTATAGCAAGCATATGGTAATAATATATGCTTAGCCTATCAGGGTATATTCACACTGTTTCTGAAATTCAGGAAGATTACTAACTCATCATTTCAGATAAAGAAAATACATCTAAAAATGAGTTTCATCTACAGTATCAGAAAATTAAAATCTATATTTCCAAAGAAGCTCACAATGCAACCCTGTAGCTCTCCTCTCTCTGATATGTAACAAAAGAGCAGCTTCAGCACAAAGTCCTCCTTCACTATCACAGCCATACACATTTGCACAGAGGAGTCCAAGGCTAAAGGACAGTTTTGTAGCAGTCTTCAGTACTTGAAGGAAGAGATTTTTTTCCCACCTCTGACTGTTTGTACACTCTCCCTAGAAATTAATCCTCTTAGAAACTAAGCAACAAGAAGCTGCAACTTAATTTGTAAAGATGAAATAGGACCTTACTGAAAATATCCCATAACTATAAAGTGACTAAAAGTGAGCAACATCTGAAAGACAGAACTAAAACCATAAACTAAACTAACCTAAACTAAACTAAAATCAAAGCAAAGCAAATAAATAATGTTGATGTAGACGCAGCTCAAAGGGAATACACAACCACATTGTGAAACGTTCAGCTTTACACTTCACAATTGCCAGGGGGTACATAATACTATGTATTCAATTCTAGAATGTGGTAGGCATTAATAAGTATTTTTACGTTCTTTGTTTTTGTTTTTTGTTAGATCATGTAATAAAGTAATTTTATGCACACACATGCATATATGCATGACCTAAATAATGTTTACCCTCTTCTAAATATAGAAGTGTATTTCTGGTAATAAAATGTACTTCAAATGAAATTATACATACTATATGTATATATAAACTATATATAAATATATATATAATTTAAAACAGACTGCGTTGAAAAAGTTTTGTTTGATATAAACCTATGGATTGACAAGTACTAGTGTCACTCTGTTCTCAAGTAAGCTGGTACAAGAAGTATTTCTAATGATAAAATACACTTCCTGCTGTCCAAATAAATACAGGGTAATCTCTCAGTTCACGGTACAAAACCCAGGGAAAGTTGGCCTCGTTATGGTTGCCTACCTCCATCTAGTGACCAGAAAAGGTATATAAATTAACTCCGTGACCGTCCAGTAATTGTTTGCAATTAGTGGACAAAACTTACAAACCCCAAATCTCTGTTCTTATGATTATGTTCCTATGATATAAGGAAAACAAGGGAGCTTATTCCCTCCCATGCAAAGAGAACAGCCTGTCTCCAGCACTCTCCAAGAAATACTAGAGTATTTGTGCATTACATGTTGGACAACAAACAAATGCACATGTGCAGGGGCAATGCCCCTAACCCATACCACTACTGCTAACTTCATCTGTTGCTGTCAGCTAAAGCAGAGCAAATAGGCTGTCTCTGAGGGGATCCAACCAGCTTCCCAGAGCAAATTTGATTAAACTGCACAAGCTCTCTTAGTGGTACTACAGGATGGTTATTTTCTGAAAAGTTTTAGCCCTCTCATTGTTAATGCTGTTTCTCAAGAAAACATTCAAAAGTTACTATCTAATGGTAAGAAGTCACATAACTACTTTGGCTAGACTGTGGCTTATTATGCTTAACTTCCAACGTACTGACAGATTTCACTCTTTTTGCCAATTTGGATAATGATGATATCATTTCCATGTTGGTTGATGGGGTATATTTGCAAGTAGAAATATTAATGAAATCACCAGCTTTACTTGACAGCTTCTGATTTCCCTTTTTTTCAACATATAGGCAGCATGCAATTAAATATCTATCTTCTTGAAATGAATTTGCATTAATATAAAAATTAGCATACTAAGTCATACTTCAAAACACAGAGGAAAAAATGATAGAGTGAAAAGTGGTAAAACATCAGTGAAGAACCCAAACCTCTGCTGTCATGACCAGATGATTCCCTTCCATGAAAACCAGTGACACTGCTCTAAGAAAACTACAAGCAGAATTCAGCTCTTTGAAGGCAGCAAGAAAGGTGTAGGAGCTTGGGAAAAAAAAAAACGTAGGAGAAGATGGATTAGATTAAAATAAAATAAAAAATAAAATAAAAAATAAAAATATTTTTCTTAAAAGAAGAAAAAATACCACTCCTTTGGAGACAGGAATTGTATTCTAAAAACAGACAATCATTACAGTACCTAAAACACCACAGGCAACTTCCAGTTTCAGACAGATTGTACACTGTAGTTACAAATGTCACCAGGGGTCTGCAATCAGCCTTGATGCAAATAGACAAAAGAAAACCATTCAGGGCAGTATCTACCATATAACTTTTACTCAAGACAAGTCATAAGTACAAATACAGCTCAAGATGTAAACCCTTCAAAATGGGCTTTTATATATATATATTTCTCCTGAAGTTTATTTTAAAACAAATAACATAAGAACAGTTTTGATTCACAGAAAGGTATGCTTAGAAATCTTATTACTTTTAGTACAGAAAAAAAATATGTCCATGAAAGTCTTAATTTAATTCTCTGGAAACATTATTTATATTTTATATAAAGTTATATTTTACACACATCTTCCATTTTTACCCCCTCCTGCCATCTTGAAGTACTTAAAAATTTCTTCAACATCCACATGTCCATGTGTCAGACATGTAGAAGAAACAATAGGACACACAGAAGACTGTGAATGAAGTGTTTGTTCTCTGGGGTTGGGGGGGGGAGAGAATGAAGTAGGCAAATAAATATATCATCAGCTCTTATTTTGCCCTTTTGCATAAATATCCTTAAGCTAAAAATTACCTCTTCAACATGAGCACATTCAGTGGGCATGTAGACAGTCTTCAAGAGAGAAAATTGACTTCATTTGCACAGCATGGATCAGCACTAGACCCCATTTCACTGCTGCTACAGCATCCAAGTGGTTAGTAGTTTCCCGTACCATCAAAGGGAAAAGATAATCCTCTATAGAATATGCCTCAAAGCTTGTCTAGCACACAGCATGCAAGGAAAGCCTTGGAAATGTTGCAAACACAGCAAGGCTAATAAATATACTCTATATTTTGCCCTGTGGCCATACTCTTTGCATATATGTTACTCTAAGAAAATCATGGGAAGCCCTGTGACTCAGATACAGCTGACTGATAGTGCTTCTTATTAATATTTCTTGCTTTTAGAAACATACTAGGTTTGGGTTATTTTTTTGTTGTTGTTGTTGTTGTTGTTGATGGTGGTGGTTTGTTTTCTTTTTTGGCATATAGCACCAGCTACACAGGGCAGGCTCAGATCAACAGAGCAAAAGCACAGAGCAAAAGCTGTAGGCTTTGCCCCTTCTTTTTCTTACCCTCTGCCATTCACAGTCCGCTTTCAGAGCAGACCGCCAGTGATAAGGAGAAGTGGGTAATTAAATCAAGCCAAAAAGTGCATTTGGAAATGATTTTCTCTTGTGCCCATGCACAGTCACATAAATCTACACTCAGATCTAGCTGCTAGCTAAAATCTGTACCCGAATAAGAGCTGTACCAGATGCGATCCGCTAGCAAGATGATCCAATTCATTACTGGATGAAGATTTTTTTCTACTGATAAGGAATTGAATAACTTGCCTTCCTCTCTTAGATACTCAGAAACTCAGATAAGTGTCCCTCTCCTTAGATTTTGTCTTCATACAACAGAGCAGAAGGGTGTTCTCATTACAAATGTGTGTGACACATCCTGTATTGCCTGTAACACAAGGTTATTTATAGAAAGCTACTAAAATCAGCTATTTCTGCAAGACTTATGACCAAGATTATCTCATTCTGACCTGCTCCAGATGCAGCGTAAATCCTAATCTTCACTTAAACAATGTAAAAGCAAGACAAGGAAAACCAGTGAATGGTCACAGTTACATCTTTCCTGCACTATGCAATGCTCTTTGTGAAGACTCAGAGTATGGCTACAGGAGCAGAATACAAGGATGCCATCTCTTCACTGTGAAACATCTTTAAGTGTCAACTCAGAGAGATTTTGCTGATGGATCAAACCCATCAATGTTGTAAAGAATCTATCCTGTTAATTATGGAAGTATTTTTCATTTTCCTTTAGAATAACCAGCCTTATTTTTCTTTCCAATATGCATTAGGTTTTTCACCACTGTAAAATCTATTCTAATCAACATTCTTAAAATAACTGTATCAGTCACATATGCTGTGTGGACATCCTAACCATTTACTCTCACATTAGGCTGATCCTTCTTCTGCACACTCTGAAATAAAGGAATGCCTGAACTAGTTTGGAGTAACTTTCTGCCTACACAGACTTCTCCAGGTAGTTCTGCAAAACCCTGTGCCACTTACCTCCTCCAGGGAGAAGGGATGGTATTCTAGCCCCTAAATCCTAACAGCTAAACCCATGCTTAGTGGGCTGTCCATAGCTCATTCTTTTCCTACCTACCTCACATACTTGCTGCCCGCTTCACCTGTACTTTTGAAGTCCTAACCATGCTTGTGCCATCTCAGTCTGTTGAGTTCAGGAATCCCAAGCATTCTGGTGCCTGTTTTTGAAAATACAGAACATCGGACCCAGGTGTCAATTTCTGGAATTTCATTATGCAGGTGTCATGTTGAGATATCTAAAGAGAAGATGAGAGAAGTAAGGTTGCGCATCAACACCGTATCAAGGTTCTGTTAAAAGAGAAACAGGCAAAGGAGAGTGATCAGATCAAATACCTGGGCTCTCTCTTGCCTGCAGTTCTGCTTTGAAAGTTTCTGTGCTAACATCAATCTATTGTAGCCTAGGGCTAGCTGTAATGTTCGTAAGAGGTGTAGCAGCAAGCCTTCAGTAGAATGCATGCTGCAAATGAAAACAATGATCTTAAAATATTGGGGGGGGGGGGGGGGAGCATGTGATCAG